ACGACACTTCGCTCGTTAACGGGCGTACTTGTCTCTTACGAGGAAAGCAGCAAACTCATAAATCTCCAACGAAAATGCACTCCGAGGTGTCTAGCGCGTGACTTCTCCGTTTCGCGACGCACAGATATTCCGCTTCAGAATGTTCGACGCGTTTAAACAGGCGCGGACAGTCGGTTATAATGCATACGTCGCATATCTTGTTGCACTCCGGCGCGTCGCAGCTGCGATCCGCGCGCCAATAAATCATCGCTTCGTTTCGCGCCGACTTGAGTGGCGATTAACCCTCTCGCTTTGCTACGTTCCGATCGTAAACCGCACTTTGTACTTGCTCGTAATAAAAAAGCGTCACAACAGTGGTCTTCATACCGTTTTCATTTGCCAGAGATTTTACGCGAAAAACATCTTTCACTGTGTTAATGATTGCATGTATTGTCTTAAATTAATAAAGTCTCGGACGCATAAAGTCAAATTTTTTTACTAAATTGTGTATTCTTTATTTTTGAACTCGTTCTTAAACCGTAGGTGTTGCAAAGCACCTTGTGAAAATATTGCCGTCTATTTTAGTAGCCGTTTGCACCGAGCATTATTCCTCAACCGATAACCTTTAAGATTGACATTTTATTTCATCCAGCCGATGTCACAGAAAATCTCGCACCTTCTTCGAATCCTCTGAAGAAGTATCAAAGACCTTGAAATGACATTAAACACGCGATATCCGATTTTTCGCGCCATTTGTCCTGGGCGTTCCGCTCCGCTCCGTTAGTGAGAAATCGCTGAATTGGAGTTTAAAGTTTTATGCAAAGGATCAATCCATTCCGCCTCGTCTCTATTTCACCACGCTCCGCGAAGCCGAGTTTATTCCAGTTCCATTCCCCGATCGAAAGCATCTCGCAAGTCATAGTGCCTCGCGGGGGGCGTCGCAAACTTAAATCTCTCGATACAGCAAAAGATTTATACTCGGATGCGACTACGTCGGCTTCCTTTTGTCTCGCATACGTAATATTTCGGTCCCCTTTTGCTCGCAAGATTAATCCCAGGTCGCAAAATCTGCTCCGCGTGCACGAGTTCGTGACGCAACCCTATATAAGCGAATTTCTGTTTACTATTTTCCACTCGTTCTTTTTGCGAGAGGAAAATAACCTGACTCTTCAAACGCTACATTTTGGCTTATTGTGCAGAATTTTATAATTTTCTCCAAACAAAATCTTGACAAGATATTAGAATTTCAACGCGCGCAATAGTACAAACTTTATAATTTTGTCATGGAACGAGGAGATAATTGTCGAGCAGCATTTAACAACGTTATAAACCGTCGCGTTTCACCTTCTTAGGAATTCCAAGATTTCAATTACTCTTATCTCGAAGCTGCGCACTTAGATTTACCGCCTATTGCCGAAATTCCGACGATCCGGAATGGCACATATATTCCGCGATACCGTTGCATCAGAAACAATTAGCGTGAAAGTTTGTTAATTTGGGGACTGTAATGCGCGAGAAAGTTATTACTACAGAAATGTCTGTTAACGTCAACCTAGGCAAAGTAATTACTCGGTAAATTTATAGAGTTGGCACAACTTCACAATATAAACTTCATAACGTGTAATGCGCCCGAAATAATCAACATAGAAATTTACTCTAGATGTAATGAGCGTCCGCAGCTCTGATGATATTAGTGCCAGCTAACGTTGAAATTAATCACGCAAAGGCGGCGATGATAGCATCACGTATTGTACTTCACGGCAAATATTTCATAGCCGTGTTTAACGCAAAAGAGAAAACGCATAATTGCAGGTAATTCGTGCGCTGCATATTAGTGCTTATTATTATATAGAGGAGAATTATCTGATATTTTCGCGTAATATCGCGTAATATTGTTAAAAGATGCTGCTGAGAAGTAAATTCACCGTGCCATTTTTGTCATTTTTATCTCGCGCATTTCGTGTATTTAGCGCAACTCAATACGATTTACTCCAATTTACTGTCATAAGAAAAATTTCGTTACACGACACATAGTTGCGCTATGTAGCGACAGATAGAATTCAGCAGTTGCGAAAGAGTTGCTAGTAGAGCATAACCCAATTTTCCATCGTCTAGTATAACTTGTAGAAAAGAGAAACTTCGGTTCGAAAAGAAAGTTGGTGAAAAAAAAAGAAGAAACATGAACCATTTTATAGAGTAAACGAGATGCATTAAAAAAGTACGAATTTCTTATGAATGAATACATTAGGATGATAAAGTAAAATGCGCCTTGTCAACCGCAGACGCTTCTCTCGGCGAGTAATATATATTTTCATTTGCTTGCGGTATAACTTTCTGAGAGAGAGAGAGAGAAAAAAAATACAAATACATAATTCTCGCAGACTTCAGAGCCGTCTGTTTCAGAAACGCGAGTTAAAAAATAAGACACATTTAATAGTGTGGTCTCGGCAAAATAAAGTAACGCGTTCATTAAAATAAGTCTATTAAATAAGCAGGCTTGCGTTTTTTAAGGATTCCCCGCTTTTGTATTTCCCCGTTTCTTCGCTGAAGTTTCAATCTTCGAGACAAAGGCGGAATGGAGTCTTACCGTATTATCGAGACAACGCCTTCGTTTATTTAATCGTGTGCCCGGATAGATGCTTCTCGCGCGCGCGCCGCGGTATAATAAAATCGCGTCAGCCTGCCCACTTTCTCGGCACAAACTTGGCTTTGTTCGTCGCTGTCGACGTCGACGAGACATCCTTTGTGCGCCGCGTGCGACATTTATACACGCCGAATGGAGAAATGTGCGCGGAGCCAATAACGACGCCGCGCGTACGTCTCCGTCGTCACCGTTGCCAAATCGAAATACCGGATCGGTATGTCCGCGCGCTCTTTCGCGATGACAGAAAATTAGGGGTAACTCGATCGGCGGGGATTGATCGCCGTCCGGCCGAACGCTATTTCTGCGGGTGTAATTGAGTAGAGACGACAGAAGGCAGCAGATTAATCGCGAATCTTAATCGCCCGGAGAATCGCGCGGACCGAAACGCGCCGTTGTTGCACAATGGTGCTCTCACAGGCACGGTTGATTAAAATACAAAGATGAGTTAAGCCGGTTTATTTCGAGTTCGGTCGATGCGCGCTGCCGACAGCGCCGACCCGCACACGTTGCTTCACGACGAGTTCTATCGGGAAAACTAGTAATTTAATCAGCGATTATTGTCGGCGAAAATGTGACAACTCTTTCGCTTGCACGCTTGATAAATTATTCGTCTCGAAGTTGAAGGGTTCGAGTTCAAGTTTTGAGCATCTTGTTAGAATAGGTAATAGATGGCTTATATCTTTATTGATATCTGATTTAAACTGATTACCCTTCAAAATTTGATTTATGCCGCTCTCACGATAAACTGTTCGACTGGCGGCGGAATTGCGGATCGATACACAGTGCCGATCGTCTCGAACTGCAAAAATGGCACGGTTGCTTTCCTTCGCAGAAATGCAGGTTGCGGTCGTAACCGCGCAATATCGCCTCTAAACCTAATGAAACTTTCATCCGCGAGATGCGGATGCAAGGATGGAAAGGTTAGAAGTACAGCAATCGACCTGACCTATCTCCGATGCAATTAGTCCGGCAGACAGGTTTGTCGACGCAAACATCCCGTGGGGATTACGTAATCGAGTTTCTTCCAGTGATAGCCAGACATTCTCTATCCAGAAATTGATAAGATCTATCAATAGTTCCCGTATTATTTTACTCAATCACACAGATAGTTATATTGAAAAGGTATTTGACTGACCTAATTTTTACGAATTGATCTGAACTGTAAAAGTGTTAAAAATACATGGGTGATATAAGAAAGTAAAGTTAATAATCTTGGAAAAATATTTGGAAAAAGAGCATGATAATATAATTACTTTTCACATCATAGAACAGTAAAAAGAAAATTCTATTGCAAAAAATTTTATCTACTATTAGACATGGCAGAAAATGTAAAAAAATTATTTCTTAGTGTATTAAGTGAAAGTATTAATATTCATTACAAAAGTATATGCAAATGGATTTCATTCACTAGTTTTCCAATGAATAATCTATTAAATAATAACGCTATATATTTTTACAGTTTTTCTAAAGTTAACTCAATTTTTCATCAAGATAACAATCTTGTGTAGAAAATTTTTAATTTTGAAAAAGAGAATTATCGTGATAAGAACGGAGCAGATATAATAAAGACTCTTTTAGGATCAGGTTCTTAACGAGCAAATCCTGTGTATCCGAAAACGATGGCAATTAGCACGGAAATTCGTCTCTTAGAGCTCAGAGCAGTCGAAAGGGCACGTCGTCGATGGGGTGTCTGCTAGTGACGGAACGTCAGGCCGCGCGTAATTGGGGCGAATTCCTCGAGTGCCCCGCTCGCTTGTCGTTCGACCGAAATCCTGTTTAAGGCTTGTACCTGGCACGCGATATGCCAGCAATTGCTTCCCGCTAATTGCCGCTCGCAGCGATGTAGAAGTCTTGTGCGAATTCACGCGTTAGTTATCGCAATTTACCGTTCACAAACTTTCCCTCGTGTTTTGAGTTGTTAATGCTAGTTTAAATATTACATCGCGATCTTAGCATCGATCCTCGAATGCATAAATTACACGCGCATGCGTAACTAATGTTAGCGAGAACTTTGACGTTAATATATTTGATACAATAAGATAAAAAACGATGATAAAGAAATTTCTTATTCGAGACGAAAATCATTATACCATAATGTCGAAGCTATAGTAATTTTAAATGCAAAGTATTTAAAATTGATTGATCAAATTCTCAAAAATTCACGCGCTCAGGCACGTTGCATATCGATTTTTATATCCCTACTATACGAGAAAAAATACGTGAAATACTATTATATAAAATACTATATGAGAAATAAACCTTAGAAATCTGCTATTAATAAGTGACGGTTAGTTTCAGACACCTTATATATATTTTAAATTATTTTTTAATCTATTCTTTTAATAATATTAAAATAAAATAAATTGGATTGACTCACCATGATGCGCAGCAGCAGAGTTGTTCACAAGTTGATCTGCAACATACAAAATATATTCAAATTATAGCAGCGTTTGAAATAATTATTTAAGAAATAATTATTACTCACATTAAACTTTTACATAATTATTTTAAATGCTGCTATAATTTGAATATATTTTATATGTTACAAATCAATTTGTGAGCAACTCTACTGCTGTACATCATGGTGAGTCAATCCAATTAATTTTATTTTAATATTATATATTATTAAAAGAATAGAATTATTTTAAAATAATTTAAAATATATAAAGTCTGAGACTAACCATGTCATTCATTAATAATAGATTTCTGAGATTTGTCATATAATAAAGACGCGTGAATTTTTGACAATCTGATCAATTTCAAACACTTTGTACTTAAAAATATTGTAGCTTCGACAATTTGATATAAAAATTTTCATCTCTAAGTGATCTCAAAAATTTGCTATGTGAAACATTCTGTATAATTAAAATATAAAATTGTTTTGCTACAACTTTGTTTGCGGTTACCAATTTATTTCAGCAGCGAATCTTACTTCTAATGATTAAAATAAAGTCATACCGCTAGATTGTCTTAGCGTAATTGCTATTTGACGCTCTAATTCGCGCAACGAAACCACAGTACTCGGACGCGATTATCTCGAAAACGGTGCTAATGCTGTGGGGCGAGGACACCGCCCGCACGTGACGTTGGTAATCTTCATTAGCCGCGGTAGAAAGAAACGCGGTAATTAACGTCACAAGATAACTCGAAATAATTTACGCATCACGACCAAGCGGCGTTGAGCTGCTAAACGGTCATTCTTTTACGCAACGCGAAAGCCGCATTCCGTTCATCCATATTCGTGCCTTCGAGTAAACGATTTAATCATCGGTCAGTGAACTGCAATTTTTGCAATAATGAATCACACAAGCATGGGTTCCCAACTCCGTTTTTTTAAATCTTTGTTTCGTATTTTTTTCACAAGATCGATATGCGGTCGGAATAGTCGGGACAGGAAGGGATTAGTTTTATGAATTATTTTGCGAAAATAAATTACCGGCAACAAAATCAACTGAAATATTACATTACTCGTAAAACGCTTCGGGACGTTGAAATAAAATGTAATTAGTCCGCGGATACGTTTTATTATTCGCGACGAAATTGAGATACAGCTCTATGTGCTCTGTGTGCGACTGGTAAACTTGCAATTTAAAAAATATGTTGTCAGCCGTAATAAATCGCGGAGTGAAGCTCATAATGATGCGTTGCGACGCTGCTTCGCTGGGCGAAATGCATTTAATGCTGTTCTAGCGCGGCGTACTCCGTGTGTTTATTATGGTACATTCGGACTTTGTGCACAATTTGACGCTTCGGAAAATTTACACGTTTCGAAATGGGTGGTCCATAAATTATTACGCACTTTCATATTCCTACGCTCTCTCATCGTCTCGTATTCCAGAGTGAATCGATCTATCGGATTCTGTGGTATATGAATGTTCGCGAATTCATGCGTGTCGATCGAGCGAATTTCAAGCTCGAGGATCGTTCCCATCGCACCGTTGCGGTCGTAAAATCGAGCTTTTATTTTGAAAATCGTCGGATTTTCATGAATTCGTGGTCGTACTTTTTAAACTTTTTTTAACCATTACACTTTAGCGAGCAATAAAAATTTGGCATAAAAAGTTGCAAAATTCAATATTTACAATAAAGTTTTAGTGAAAAGAGAGCTACACGACTCAACCAATTACGAAATAAAAGCGATAGATATAATTTATGAGAAAATTTATAAAAACAGTAGAAATGTTGTTTTTCTCTTCAATAAAAAATAAATTTTGTAAACGAGAAAAACATCTTATATATATTCGCAAAACTTGTATACGAGAAACACTAAAAAGGTGAAACCTTTTTACGCTACCATCTGAATGCCGTCTGATCCAATTAGGCTTCCCCATCATGTGCAACGAAGTACAGAAGCGGCACAAATGGAAAACTGAAAAAGGGGAGAAATCGCGACACGTTCGGCGTTGGGAACAATCCTCCATGCGTTTCGCATGTACGCAATGGGTGTCATCAATTGGATGGAATTCTGCAGAAAAATGCCAATCAAAGATCGTTGGCTCTTTTCTGCAGAATGTGATTTAATTGACGATCTGTGTGTAAAAATCAAGCAAGCTCGTCTTCGTCAACATTCAAATTAGCATTCAGCGAGAATATCGTATCAATTATTACAAAAATCTAACCAAAAGAATTATTTGCGTCAAAAGTCAATCGATTAACGATATCATCTCTGCAATAATCAAAATACGTCGTAAATATAGCAAATTTGCAATTTCTTCAAAATTATTCACTACACTTACAATACAATTTAAAAGTTTCAAAATACTCAGTAATTTATAAAAATAAATTAATATACTAAACAATATTGACAAATTGCCTCGGTGACGTTCAAGGAAGCGAGCTTGCTCAATTTCGTTTCAATCGCTGAAACGCATGTCGAGAAAACACGGGGAATGGTGTATGTTATGAAGTTACACGTACATAACACCGATAGAAGAAAATAAAAAAAGAACTGAGGGAGATGAAAGAGAGAGAAACAGACTCACCCAACGCCGGAGTTGTGTAGTCCCAGCTCTCGGCATCGTTCTTGTAGACGTTGAGCTTTGTCGGCTGGAAAAGATAACAGGCAATGGTATTTAAATGCAGCTTGAAATATCACGGGGGAATTGACGTGTGAATTGTTTTTCTTCGCGCGCCAGAGAGCAATGCGTCCCAATTTGAAACGCGCGCGAGCGTCGGAAAAACAAAACACGACGCAGATGAAAAAATAATAATAATTTCAACGCCATTAAAAATAAATTTCCCTAAGTAAAGTTATGATCTTTTCTCGGAATGAAGTTGTTTCCATCATAAACATTAACTCGTTAAAACTTTACTTGCAAACATTATGTTTGGCGGCAAACAAGTGCATGCGGGCGGCGTTAGCGTAATAACAGAGTGTAATGTTGTTATTGAAACAGTTTCGTATTCAAGTTTCCAGCGAATGCAGTGAGCAATGAGAATGCAATGAGCAATAGCGAATACATCCATAACTCAATATCTAAATTTTCAAAGGCGCTGTGTAGCGCGCGTCACATCCTCTTCGATTACAGCAACGAATAGTACGCGCTTGTTCTCAGTCGTCCTAATGAATACTTCGGCGAATCTCTCGAGCATGCAAGACTAATTCGATTAGCTTAAGCGACGCAAATCCCCAGGTGTTAAATAGAGCAGTTCTCTCCACAGAGAGCCACGAGTGAACTAGCATTTGCTCCGAAACTGCGCAAGCATAATCGATCGATCGTTTCATCGGATATTCTGCTCTAGCCAGCGTTGAAAAAAAAAAAATCGAGAGTGGATCATAATACCGATTCGATGTAGATACACGCGCGTAATTGCGGGAGCGCTTCTAGAGTGCTTTTCACAGTCATAAAAAACGTTGCGTTTTAGTCTGAATAACCATTTCAGTATATCTCGCCGTCGTGTTCCGTAGTAATAATAATTCTGCGAGTAAAACCTGGCAGGGAAAGTAAAGTGGCGTAGACAGGGGAGACACACCGATTCAGCTTAGTCGCGTTTACCCAACCGCGCCGTGCGGAAAAAGTTAACGCCCGTCCGCAATAAGTCGTCGCATTCCACCTCGTTCTAGGCAGGATTGGCTTTGCGCTTCGTATCTCGGGATAAGCTTCGCAATTACATTCTTTGCTATTATAACCATCGTGTCGAGTATACAGCAACTGCACGCAACAATTTCAGGCTTTATCTCTCCCCTCAAGAAATACTTTATTTCACGTAAAAAAATTACCAAGTTAATGAAAGAAAAGAAAAAAATGTTTTGAAAACTAAATTCTCATGAAATAAATCTGATTTGGTGCAACAAAAGTCGAAGAAACGTGTGACAAAATTTATTTTGACGAGAACGTACGTTTGAATTATTAACGAAATAATTAAACGTTTAAATCTTTAATTATTTTGATCATTATTTTTGAAAGAATTCCACTCTTCCAATTTTATTACTTTATTCGAATCTTTTCTTTTTTTTTTAATTTAAAGTAATTCAGAGGAATCGGTGCCAAGTAGCGCGCAGATAAAAACTGAGAAAACAGAAGAGGCATCAGAGATAGCTGAAAGTTTGTTCGCTCGCGGTGGTGAAAAACCCAGAGCCGGTCCTATTACAAGGAGCCGTGAAAAAGTAAGGGAAGGAAACCAGATGACGTCGTCTCGCTACAATTGCATTGGGTCGCGAGAACGATTCTTTCCAAGTTAATCACGTTTAAGAGAACTAAATGCATGAACACGTTTGTTGGGTGGAATGCACGCTCACAATAGTCGCGTCTCTGTTGTCTGAGATGTTAAGTAACTACACTCATTTTTGTCACGACTCGCTTTTATTAGAAAAAGAGCTGTGAATGCAGTTCGGTAAGATCTTTCTCTCTAACGTCACGCAAAAACTGAAGAAAAATCATTTATATACTCTTAAAAATCTGTTCTTCTTCAAATATTACTAATAAATTATTAATAATAATTTTTTCTGTTTAACTAAGAATAATCTCCAAAATTTAAACCTCCAAAAACTATGTTAAATATAAAAATAGAAATATATAATATAAAAATCAATAAATTTCAAACAGTTTTATTATCCGCAATGAGTTTTATTATTTTATGCGCTTTTATTTTCGAATATTACTCTGAAAACATTTTTCGATCAAAGATTGTTTTCAATAATTTTATTGCATATAACAGAAAATACCCCGTGTTTCTCGGATTACGGCAGGTTCTATTTCCGTGCAATCGATTCGTTCGGCCCATTGCACATACAATTTCTGGGCAATCTTGCCGCAATTTACAGGAAGTTTCAGTTACACGTGCGCGAACCATTCACAAAGTGGACGGTCTATAATACGCGGCAACTTTTTTCTATGGAAGATATATTTATTTTTTTTTTACCATCAGTAAAGGATTAAATAGCCACTATTATTGTACACTGTACCAATACTTTTCGATATGCGAGTTGTTTTTCTGTAGAATATAACTTCGTAAAAGAGAGAACTCGCACGCTACAAGAAGTTGCGAAGACATGCGTGAGCAATGTATTCTCAAAGCTCTCTTCATGTCACGCTGAAATTTTCAGAAGCTTAGATTGCTAACCTACGGTGTTGAAGTCGCTTTGAAGTTGGCGCGAGAATTATTCAACAGGATACAACCCCGATGTAGCTGCTACTATCCCTATCTTTCGGGTTTAATCATTTCCTCTGTGTGCATGCGATGCAGAAGGCTGACCTGCATCCTCTCGCACTCTCCGGAAGAGCAAAATTAGTTCCTCTTTATTGCGTCTAGGTGAGGTAATGCCGTTTACGTCGGTATTCGTCGACCCGACATTAATCTACGCGGAAGGTAACTTCGTACCTCATTGCGTCATTTCTAAATAGCTGCAAGAAATTGTCGCGACTGCTTTAAACGCAACTAATGTTAATTTCTACAGATGCTCATTTCGTAAGAAGCTTAGGCAAAATAATTCCACGAAGGAATAATTCGTAATAAACGTAATACGTGTTCTTACTTCAAAAATAATCACTCCAGAGTTTGTAAGAAAAGGCAACTTTTAATATTTACATGGAAAAAAATTAATGAACTATTTTATGAAATATTTCTTAAGCGGATTACATTTTTTCCCTTTTCTCTGTTCATATGGACGAAACTGCATCCTCTTTGCAATCCCCCCTCCCTCAATCGCGGCGGTTCATAATTCAAAAGAGGAACTGAAGCGGATATGCTCCGGCAAATGGGGCAGACTTTTGCGTGCGCCGCAATTGCAGCCTGGCCCGGGAAAATTATTAAAGCCGGAAGATAAGGCGGCGCTATGTAGCTGCGCAGTTGAATAATTCAAGCAACTCGAAAACGCTAATTTCGCCGGCAGGAGAGGAGAGACAGACGCTCGCCGCGTCGGAGCACCTCATTTCGCCTGACGACGGACGAGTCTCTTCTTATTGGATTTCGGACGTTGAGTTAAGCATTCAGAACTGCGGACGGATTCCGCTGGCGCATTAGTGCAGCCAACGCCGATTTAGAAAGTGGCTTTGGAAGGTCGCTGCTGCAACAGGCCGCTCGTTTTGCGATGCGCCGCAAAAGAATAATAAAGTCAAGTTCGCTTCCTTCGCAAATTGTATCAAAATAAAATATAATAGTAATAATTAAAAATGAGTAAATCATCTGTAAAGAGCATCTGATGAAAAAATATACATGTTGAATAATTCATGAATCGTTTATTAAATTTAACTCGAAGGTCTAGCTAAGAAATTACTTGCACTCGCGGCCTTGCAAAAATTCCAATCGGATCTGAATGCTGCATTCGAGATTGAGAGATGGGAAAATGTAAAACTGCAACCGACTGTAAATTGCGGTAACGCGAGAAAGCTTTTTCGAATCCCTAGAAATATCCTCCACGAGTCTATACAAGTTGTCGTGTAGTAAGTTATTTAGGTTGCCTATACATAGGATATTCTCCGCGGTGCCTATCGATCTTAATCTTAACGACAGTTTAGTTAATTAATACAGAGTTGACTTTTCTCCGTCGCAGTGAGAACATATCAAAGTGTGACATTAATAATTTTCCAATTACAAGTAATTAATAACCTCAAACTATATTTGTACATGTTGCAGCTGGACGACGAAATTTAATGCTCGTTTAAATTTAAATAAACGTTATTTTAATCCGAGATTTCAAGAGATTTAATCGTAAGATTAAAACGGAATCAAGAGAATCAAGAGATTTAAATATTGGACATATTAAAACACTGCAACACGCTTTTCTTCCGAATGTCCACTGTGATTAAATCTAGTACAGCCTGTGTACGGCTTAGTAAATTGCGAAATGTGCCTTAAAGGCTTTACAATTTCAACTCTGTAATATTCGCGTCGGGATATCCTAGAAATAACATTGCAGTGTGATATAACGAGTATTATGAGATTAGTTGAAAAAATTGTGCAAACTGACAGGAACAGATACAAATTGCATTAAAACTTTAATGCAGTTTTGGTAAGAAAAAACAAAGTATCCACACAAAGTTTTTATAAAGTTACGATTGTCGTACCAAAAGTTTTGTATACCCAAAAAATTATTTTTTATCTCAACATTTTGATAACACTTTGTAATAAACAACTGAATGGTAAAATGGTATAAATCGCGCGTTTTTCCTTCATAAATTTCTTTTCTAAAATTGCTGGGTTGGAATAATACATTCCAAAATCTGGCAAATATCTCTTGCTGCAACCTATGGAACGGCGCCATCGGCCGAATTCATACCGCGGAACCGAAAACGCGGAAAGCATGAGCCATTGTTTCACGTTGAACGTCGTTCCCGTAACGAGCCAACCGAACTCTTATTGATCTGTGAATCAGACGGTGCGTTACTGATTTATGATCGTCGGCAAGAGCAAAAACGAATCGCCGCGATACCTCCACTCCGTTCACGTTGAATGTGTCATAACCGCTTTTTCAGCTTTTAACTTTTTTAACGGGAACGCGAAAATAAAAAAAATTTTCCGACATTTTAAATTTTCTCGACTGACATTCGAAAGCCGATTGCAAAGCGTGAAAATTTCGAAAATAAATATATCATCTATCTTTGCAA